TCCACAATTTTCCTGTTGAGTGACCTTGGGAAGCTGCATTACCCTTAGTGCCTCTGCTTCCTCAAGAGATGTTGTGACACACCTCATGAGGTTGCTGTGAGATTAAGTGTAAACTGCTTAGATCCATGCTTGGCACATAGTAAGTAATTGATATATATTTAATATTGGTTAATAATTAATCAACTAAGTAGATTGTAAATCAACTAATAATTCATAGTAATTAATATCATATTATTATTTATAGAATACTAGTACTTGTTTCTTATATCTTTGACCAGACATGCAGCAGGTATGATAGCTGTATTAATTTGTTAGATAGTTACCTATTAGGTAACTAAATATAGTATCCTAATTGGACTTCACACACCCACTCTTGTTGTCCTTCACACTAGCCAAAATTTGCAGAGTTACTAACACATAAATCTTGATTATTGCTTAAACTCTTTCAATGACTTTCCATTGCCTTATTATAAAGCCCAATGTTCCCAATATTTGCTCAAAGATCCTTTTTGACTGACTCTTCATCCTCATCTCCCACCATTTCTCTCTTTGGACTCTGTACTCCACCAGACAATTGTTTTCAGTTTCTTCTGGCCCCATTTTTATTTTCAGCTCCTGGATTTTGCACTTGTTGTGTCTCTTGCTAGAGGTTTATTTTCTCTTTACCTTACCTGGCTACTGTGTAGTCATCTTTTGTGTTTTACCTTATTTATCACTCCTCATTCCTCAAAAAGTTAAAAATACAACTACCCTATGACCCAGCAATTGCACTACTAAGTATTTATCCAAAGGATACAAACAGTGATTTGAAGGGACACTTACAGCCCAATGTTTATAGCACCAATGTCCACAATAGTCAAACGATGGAAAGAGCCCAGATGTTCATCAACGGATGAATGGATAAAGAAGATGTGGTATATATACAATGGAATATTACTCAGCCATCAGAAAGAATGAAGTCTTGCCATTTGCAACGACATAGATGGAACTAGATGGTATTATGCTAAGCAAAACAAGTCAGTCAGAGAAAGAAAAATACCAGATGATTACATATGTGGAATTGAAGAAACAAAATAGATGAACACAGGGGATGGGAAGGAAAAATGAAATAAGATGAAAACAGAGAGGGAGGCAAATCATAAGAGTCTCTTAACTATAGGAAACAAAAAGAAGGTTGCTGGAGGAGAGGTGGGTGAAGGGATGGGGTAATTGGGTATTGGGCATTAAGGAGGGCACATGATGTAATGAGAACTGGGTGTTATATGCAATTGATGAATCACTAAATTCTACTCCTGAAACTAATAATACACCATATTATTTTTTAAAAAGATTTTATTTATTTATTTGACAGAGAGAGACACAGCGAGAGAGGGAACACAAGAAGGGGGAGCGGGAGAGGGAGAAGCAGGCTTCCCATGGAGCGGGGAGCCTGATGTGAGGCTCGATCCCAGGACCCTGGGAAGGCAGACGCTTAACGACTGAGCCACCCAGGCACCCCTACACTATATTATTTTCAATTTATCTAAATTGAATTTAAATAAAATTTTTAAAAAAATATCACTTCTCAAGGAAATCTTTCTTTTCTAACCCAGCCTATAGATTAGGTTAAGAGCTGCTCTTCTTACTTCCGTATCACCCTGTGATTTCTCTATTACAGCACTGATTTTAGTATGAAGATTTATTTACCTTTTACTCTTGCTTAGCTTGAAGGTCTGTACTCTGATGGAGTACAGAGTCCAGAGAGTCAGGAACTCTCTACTTTGCTCCTTGCTCTTCCTACAGCACCTACCATAGGCCAGAAACATAGAAGGAACTCGGTGGACAGTTGTTGAAAGGCTAAAGGAAAATTCAGTTCCTTCCCAAGGGATAATTGGCTGTTCAAGTAGTTTATGGACACCTCAAGCTTAACTTACCCTATACTGATGGAGACCTGAGCCTTCAAGTTCCTGTTGGCCAGGCCTCTATGTGACTTTCTCTCCTCAACTACAGGGGAGCTGTAGTTTATAGGAAATAAGACTGAATATTTCAGATAGAAAAAAAAATGATGCTCTGGGGAGCATGATTGGCTCAGTCAGTTGAGCGGCCAACTCTAGGCTTCAGCTCAGGTTGTGATCTCAGGGTCATGAGATTGAGCCCCACATTGGGCTCCATGTTGTGCATGGAGTCTCCTTGTCCCTCTCCTCCCTCTGTCCCTCTGCCCAATGGATAAGTGGATAAAATATTTTTTTCTCATGTGTTTTTTTAATTATGTTATGTTAATCACCATACATTACATTATTAGTTTTTGATGTAATGTTCCATGATTCATTGTTTGCATATAACACACAGTGCTCCATTCAGTACATGCTCTCTTTAATACCCATCACCAGACTAACCCACCCCCCCACACCCTTCCCTCTAGAACCCTCAGTTTGTTTCTCAGAGTCTATAGTCTCACATAGTTCATCTCCTCCTCCGATTTCCCCCCTTCATTTTACCCTTCCTACTATCTTCTTCTTTTTTTATAACATATAATGTATTATTTGTTTCAGAAGTATAGGTCTGTGATTCAACAGTCTTACAAAATTCACAGCGATCACCATACACATCCTTCCCCAATGTCTATCACCGAGCCACCCCATCCCTCCCACCCCCATCACTCCAGCAACCCTCAGTTTGTTTCCTGAGATTAAGACTTCCTCATATCAGTGAGGTCATATGATACATGTTTTTCTCTGATTGACTTATTTCGCTCAGCATAATATCCTTCCAGTTTCATTCACGTCATTGCAAATGTCAAGATTTCATTCCTTTTGATGGCTGCATAATATTCCATTGTATATATATACCACCTCTTCTTTATCCATTCATCTGTCGATGGACATCTTGGCTCTTTCCACAGTTTGGCTCTTGTGGATATTGCTGCTATAAACCTCAGGGTGCACGTACCCCTTCAGATCCCTACATTTGTATCTTTGGGGTAAATACCCAGTAGTGCAATTGCTGGGTCATAGGGTAGCTTTATTTTCAACTTTTTGAGGGACATCCATACTGTTTTCCAGAGTGGCTGCACCGGCTTGCATTCCACCAACAGTGTAGGAAGGTTCCCCTCTCTCTGCATTCCCACCAGCATCTGTCGTTTCCTGACTTGTTAATTTTAGCCATTCTGACTGGTGTGAGGTGGTATCTCATTGAGGTTTTTGTTTGGATTTCCCTGATGCCGAGCGATGTTGAGCACTTTTTCATGTGTCTGTTGGTCATTTGGATATCTTCTTTGGAAAAATGTCTGTTCATATCTTCTGCCCATTTCTTGATTGGATCACTTGTTCTTTGGGTGTTGAGTTTAAGAAGTTCTTTATAGATTTTGGATACTAGCTCTTTTTCTGATATGTCATTTGCAAATATCTGCTCCCATTCTCTCAGTTGTCTTTGGTTTTGTTGACTGTTTCTGTAGCTGTGCAAAAGCTTTTTATCTTGATGGAGTCCCAATAGTTCATTTTTGCCCTTGCTTCCCTTGCCTTTGGTGATGTTTCTAGAAAGAAGTTGCTGCGGCTGAGGTCAAAGAGGTTGCTGCCTGTGCTCTCCTCTTGGTTTTGATGGCCTCCTGTCTCACATTGAGGTCTTTCAACCATTTTGAGTCTATTTTTGTCTGTGGTGTAAGGAAATGGTCGTTTCATTCTTCTGCATGTGGCTGTCCAATTTTCCCAACACCATTTGTTGAAGAGACTGTCTTTTTTCCATTGGACATTCTTTCCTGCTTTGTCAA